GGGCCCTAGACTTCCCTTGCTGCCCTGGCTTCGTCCAGAAGGACATCCAGTCTAATTAGCATATTATGCTTTTATTATAGACTAGAGGCCAGGTGCATGAAATTCATGCATGGGTACAGTCCCTAGGCCTGGCCTGCGATCAGGGCCATCTTCCCCAGCTGCTGGCAGCAGGCCCCACCCCCTGCCACCACCCACCCTCTTTTCCCTGTTTGCCTGATGGCTGGGGAAATGGACCAAGAGGTGGTCTGTGCTATGATAATCAAGTCCAATTGCTTCTAATTGCATTGCTTAAAGGTAGGATAAAGCCTTGAGGGCCACAGCTCTCTTCAACTACCTACAAGGCTGTAGTGTGGAATAAGGATTAGGTTTATTCCTACAGCGCCAGAGGGCAGAACTCATACCTGTAAGTGGGAAAGAGGCAAATTTCAATTAGAATGTGAAAATATCTTTCTAATGAGACATTTGCCCCAAAATAAAGGATTGCCTTGTGAAAGAGCCCATTCCTTCTCTCTTCCAATGTTGATTAAGACTCCATAATACTACAGCTCTATTGAGTGCTTGAACTGGCTAGGCAAGCTGACCTTGAAGGGTTTCATAAATTTCAATAATTAAATGTTAAATTCTAAAAAGAGACATAGACATTTTATTTTATTTTATTTTATTTTTAATATATTTTATTGATTTTGTACAGAGAGGAAGGGAGAGAGATAGAGAGTTAGAAACATCGATGAGAGAGAGTCATTGATCAGCTGCCTCTTGCACACCCTCTACTGGGGATATGCCCGCAACCAAGGTACATGCCCTTGACCAGAATCGAACCTGGGACCGTTCAGGTTCCAAGCCGACGCTCTATCCATTGAGCCAAACCGGTTACAGCTCTTTGCATATTTTTAATCCTTATACTTATTTAACCCATCTTCCCAGTAAAGGTCTATACTTGGTCCCTCCCTGTAGCCCTTAGCAACCTTTTCATTGTCTCTTTCAAGGATAAAAGGGTTGCGGTTTCATTGTTCATCTTCTTTTTTTTTTTTTTAATAAATCTTTATTGTTCATATTATTACAAAAGTTCATTTTTCCCCCTCCACCAGGTTCCCACCCCACCCTCTGCCCTTTCCCCACCCCCCCATTGTCCTCATCCATAGGTGCACAGTTTATGTTCAGTCTCTTCCTATACCCTCTCCCCCTTTTCCCAAGAATCGTCAGTCCACTCCCCTTCTTTACCTCTGATTCTATTATATTCACCAGTTAATATTGTTCATAAGATTTTTTTTTAATTTTCTTGGTTTTTAGATTCACGTGTTGATAGTTACATATTTGTTGTTCATAGTTTTTATCTTTATTTACTTTCTCTTCTAAAAGAACCCCCTTCAGCAATTCATATAATTCTGGTTTGGTGGTAATGAACTCCTTTAGCTTTTTTTTATTAGTGAAACTCTTTATCTGGCCTTCGATTCTGAGTGATAGCTTTGCTGGGTAGATTATTTTTGGCTGTAGGTTCTTGCTATTCATTAACTTGAATATTTCTTGCCATTCTCGTCTGGCATATATGGTTTCTGTTGAGAAATCAGCTGACAATCGTATGGATGCTCCTTTATAGGTAACTACCTGCTTTGCTCTTGCTGCTTTTAATATTCTCTCTTTGTCTTTTGCTCTTGGAATTTTAATTATGATGTGTCTTGGCATGGTCTTCTTTGGATTACTTTTGTTTGGAGTTCTGTGCGCTTCCTGGACTTGTAAGTCTAATTCTTTCACCAGGTGGGGGAAGTTTTCTGTCACTATTTCTTTCAGTATGTTTTCGATATCTTGCTCTCTCTCATCTTCTGGGACCCCCATAATTCTGATGTTGGTTTGCTTGAAGTTATCCCAGAGGTTTCTTAAATCATCTTCAACTTTCTGGATTCTCTTGACTTCTTGCTTCTGTGGAGGAGTATCTTCTGGCTCTTTGTGTTCCAAATCTTTGACTTGATTCTTGCAATCTTCCTTTTTGTTTTTAGGACTCTGTATAATATTTTTTAATTCAGACAATGTATTCTTTATTTCTTGTTGATCCCTTATTAGTTCTTGTTGATCCCTTATTAGTTCTTGTTGATCCCTTTTCATCTCCTCATAGGTCTTATCGACCTTTTCTAGGAAATTCTTAAAAAATCTTATAAGCGTGGTTTTGAACTCTATATCCAGTCTCTTCTTTTCCTCCATTTCTTTTGTTTGTGATCTAATTCCTTGCCTTGGCATTTTCACAGCTTCCCTGAGTTGGTAGGGTGGCTTTGTGTGCTAAGGTGTCCTATATGGTTCAGTGAGTCAGCCTCCCAGTTACCTGAGGTGGACAGTCTTGGTGTAGCCCTTTGTGGGATGGGTGGGCAGTCTTGTTGTTAACCCTTGCTTGTTGTTGGTATCACTGGGAAGCGTTGATCTCCAAGCCAATTGGCTATGAGGATCAGAAGTGTCTCAGCTAGGAGGGTTTCTGTATTCTGCTTGGATGGGCAGAGTCTCAGGCTGGCAAAGACAAGCTTTGTTGAATCCAGCACAATTGGTTGTAGGCGCACGTACCTCTTTGGTATAGGTGCAGACAAGCTTTAGATTCCTGTCTGCCCCTCCCTAGGAGAGTCCTATTGGCAGCGAATGAGGAAGCTAGCCACTGGAAGGGCCTCTGTGCTCTGCTTGGATGGGGCGTAGTCTCGGGTGGTGCAGACAAGCTTTATTCAGCCCATCCCTATGAGGGCCTGGTTTCTGAGTCCCGCAGTAATGGCCGCTGGCTTCACACACCTCCGAGAGATCTCTGCCCACTGCCTGACAGACTGGCCTCTGTCAGCGCAATAGGGTGGTTTTGTTTTCCTCCTGAACAAGAAAGCCAGCCGCGCATTAGCTGTCTGCCCTCTCCGCGCGCAGGGAGTAAGCCGGTAGCAAACTCAGCCCGCCCTCTCCACGCTCCGCAAGCCAGCCGGCAGTGAACTCTGCCGCCGCTTTTTCGCGCGCACAGTTTTCCGTACCTTCACAGTTCCTGAGGTTCAGCGTGCCTTCTCTCTCCTTCGCAGATGGTAGAGCCTCCCTTCAGCCAGCCGTCCGGCGCTTCAGGGTGATGTTTCCCCCGTTTTTCAGTTCTAAATTCAAACTTGTTGTGGTAGGCTGCATTCGGGTGTCTGCCCTGTGCCGCCATCTTGGTTGTCTCCCCATAGACATTTTAAATACAGCAGTTTGAAGTCATTCAAACTCCAAATGAAGTTATCATGTTATGTTTTTTAAAAGCAGTGAGCTATGTTTTAAACTTTAACCTCTGGACTATTCTTCATTGATTTAGTATTTTGGTCCTTATGGCACACATTTTCAAGAACATTTTTTTAAAGTAAAAAATTGGCCTTAACCAGTTTGGCTCAGTGGATAGAGCATCGGCCTGCAGACTGAAAGGTCCCAGGTTCCATTCCTTTTAAGGGCATGCACCTTGGTTGCGGGCACATCCCCAGTAGAGAGTGTGCAGGAGGCAGCTGATTGATGTTTCTCACTGATGTTTCTAACTTTCTATCCCTCTCCATTCTTGTCTGAAAAAAAAAATCAATAAAATATATTTTTTAAAAACAAAAAAGTAAAAAATTGCCCTATTAAGGAGTCATCAGCATTGTTTGTTTGTTTTTTTTAATATATTTTATTGATTTTACACAGAGAGGAATTGAGAGGGAAAGAGAGTTAGAAACGTCGATGAGAGAGAAACATCAACCAGCTGCCTCTTGCACACCCCCTACTGGGGATGTGCATGTGCCCGCAACCAAGGTACATGCCCTTGACCGGAATCGAACCCGGGACCTTGCAGTCCGCAGGCTGACGCTCTATCCACTGAGCCAAACCGGTCTTGTCTGCATTGTTTTTTTTTGATTGTCAGTTATAAAGCTTGATACCAAATGGATTGCACTTAGTTTTAATAAATTGTAGGAGTCAATGAGGTAAAACAAACAAAAAACTCCCTTTGAATGATAAATGCTAGGATTTTAAGCTGGAATCTTAACTTTTTGAACAAGATCAATTCCTTCTTTGTGTCTTCTTTTTTTTAATGTTCCTTCAGGTTGAACCCAATTATATGCTTTTCTAGTTTGTAAATACCTTAGAGCTGAAATAAAACAATGAGTCCCCTTCTACACTTGAATGGTGACTGTTTGCTGTTCTCCAAGACTTCCAAGAGATCCTGTTTTCACCACACCCTTTATCTGGCTCTTGAACTGTTTAAATCGAACCCCCTGTTTTTTGTCAGAAATTTTCCTTTTAATGATGGGCTGTGTGTCTCTCTCTTTTGAAAAATATACAGAATCCTAGGGACTCTTTCAGAATCTAAAAAATCATTAGCAAGTGTAAGGTGGGCAAGAGGTAGGGTGGGAAGCAATGCCTTCTGCATAAATCTAGTTACTCTGAGTCACCCTTGGCAACTTCCGGGACCAGGCATCAGGTGGTGGTAGAAATTGTCCTCTTAACCATATCTATTTTTTTTTCTTTAATGACTGTGCATATTTGCATACCCATATGGTTAGAGAGAAGGCGATGACGTGAGGCTTTCCTTGGAGAACAGGAGGCGATCAGGAAATAAAACAGGTGCCTGGAAAGGGGTTCTGTGAGAGAAGGGAGAACGTTAATCGCCATCCTCCGAGAGCGGCAGGAGTCCCCTGCAGGTAGCCGGCTGGCCAGGCGCCCTCGTGCACCCTCTCTGGGGACAGGCTCTGTTGCTTTCTATTTCTTTGCTTGCAGCCAGGGTTGCACGCTTATTTGAAACGGATTGAGCTGCCTGCTCAGTGGCTGGTCAGGTTGACTCTTCAAGACTAGTGGATGTTTTTTTGTTGGTTGTTTTTTTTTTGTTTTGTTTTGTTTGTTTTTTTGAGGTTGAAGGGGAAGCTATCGGTTGAAATTCTGGTTTGGTAAGTGGGAGATTCTCAGAAATGAGGAAAGGGGCCGGACACTGACTTAAGAAGCCGGGGAGCAAAAGCTGTAGCCCACCCCCACCCCCCCAACCTTCCACCGGCTTATCTCCCGGCCTCTTACCCCTGGCCGTGACCTCCCGCGGAGACCCCGGGCGGCTGCCTCTGCACCTGCTCGGTGCTTGCCCAGCGCGTGGCCAGTCCTGGTCGGAGGCGGGGCGAGCCGGGCATCGCTGCCGCCCGCGCCAGGCCCTGGCGGGGGGCGCTTCGGAAGGACCGGCCCCGCGCCCGCCCGGCCCCCGGGGCGGCTCCCTGCGCGGCGGGCGCGGCGCCCACTCACCATGCCCGGCTGCCGCCTGCGGCTCGCCCTGCTGTGCGCGCTGCCCTGGCTCCTGCAGGCAGCGGCTCCCGGGGACCCCGCGCCCCCCCTGGCGCGCCGCGACCCCCACGACCCGGCCCGGGGGGCCGACTTCGACCGCGTCTACAGCGGCGTGGTGAACCTGAGCACCGAGAACATCTACTCCTTCTCCTACACCAGCCAGCCCGGCCAGGTAAGGCGCCCGCTTCCTTCCCTCGCTCAGCTCCCAGGAACTTGCCAGACCCGGGCGCCCCGTCGTCGCTGTGGGTCCTTTGCGCAGCGACCTCGGGAGGGAGACCTCGGGGACTGGGGGCCCTAGCTCCCTGTCTCATTCACATCCATCACCGATCTCCGCGACCGGCCTTGGGGACAACTCCCTTCCTCTCCTGCCTCCCCTGGCCTGGCCTCTGGCATTTCTGAGCCTTCCAAGGAAAGCCCTGGTTCTCCGCCCCACGGTCTGCGGGTCCTGCCCGCCTACCGGACCTCTCTCTAGGGAAGTCTCGATGTCTAGGGTCGCGGAGGGCAAGGGCCGCAACGCTGGTCCTAATCTCCTGCGGGGAAGGAAACTCTTTCCCGTGGGATGGTTCCGCCAGACCCTTTTCTGTCTCTTGGCGCATTGGGGTGGAAGCTGCTGCTTAGAATCTGAAACGGGAATGTGTGAGCATGGACGCAAGCTGCAGAACCCCTGTGCGTTCAGTCACAGGTCCGTGCTCCTGAGAGGCCGGCAGACCCGGCGGGAGAGGTTGGAACTGCAGCCGTGCTCCTGTCTGTGGAGATGGTGGTTTTAAATAGGGATGGATAATTGGGGGGAAATGTTAGACCTGTCTCTGACAAGAACGGAGGGAGGCGAGGGAAATGACTTCCAGGAGCTATCCCTTTGACACATATATGCTGGTTATATAATATAAGAAAAACATAGCTTGATGTTTCCCTTTAATGGTACAGAGAAAAGAGAAAAACCCCCATTGTATCTGTCTCTGGATCTTCATCCCACATAAGTGTGTGTGTGTGTGTGTGTGTGTGTGTGTGTGACTATTCCCCGGAAAATTCAGGAACTGATTATTGGGATGCCCTGATATGACTCCCTCTGTAACGCTCACTTACCCAGTAACTTGGGGTAGTACTTGAGCTGACATCTCCCGCTGTGTGTATTGAGCAAGTGCTCCATCTCCCCTCTGTCACTACAGCCTAAGGCGTGGTTGCCGTAGCAGCACAGCCCTCACCCTGTCCTGTCCTCCTCTGACCTTCCCCTGGTGTGTCCTGAAGTGAGCAGGCTGGCTGTGTGCAGAGCCACTCCGTTATAGACCAGTGGGAAGGGGCAGTTTTTAGTCTCCAAACCCCAGTAAGTGACCTCTTTCTGTCCAGTGTGTGGTACGGACCAGCTGACGTATCACAGATAAGGAGTGTGCTCCTAGCCCTGTGATTGATTCAGAACAAATCAAAGTCTAAAAAACTCCCTGACCTCTGGGGTGTACTGCCAGTATCCTCCTAAATCACTGGTAACAAAACTCAAGTAATCTGTGCAAAGTAACTCCTAACATCAGGCTTAGTGTTTCTAGCACTTCTGCTGAGAGACAGGGTGACTGCTTTCTAACTGTTGGCCTTTTTGCCATTAGTATTCTGCCAGTTCCTCTACTTCACTACAGCACAGGTGTAGTTCCTCTACTTCACTACAGTTTGCAGTTGAGGTCACCTGATTGAAAACCATTCGATATTGAGGATAAGGGCAGAATAGTGTTAATCTCTGAACCCCAGTACCTAGCACAGTGCTTGGCACATAAGAGGTTTATCAATGTCTTTGAAAGAAAAAAAGAAGAAGAAATAAGTGAAGAAAGATTTAAGGACTCTATAAGCTGAAGCTAAATAAACTATGTAGTGCTTTACTAGGTTGAAAGCATAAGATCATTTCAGATAAAAACAAAAAATTTTCATGAAGAACAAAATTCTTAAGAATTTTTTCTACGATTATGCCCTTTCTGTTTTGCCTGTGTGTTAAAGTGCCCTTTATTTTATGAAACAATGTCAATGATTATAATAGTTTTTAAAAATATCTTTGCATAATACAATAAAAAGTGAGTTATCCCAGCAGTCCCTAAAATTTTACTAGTCAGAAATACAGGTGGGGACCATGGGACTGACAGGTAACTCAAGTACTTTAATGCCAGTAAGCAGTAATATGAACCAGATGTTCTCACATCTTACAGCTTTCTGAGATCTCTCTCTCCAATGTCCAAGTAAGACAGTGAACCTCTCCACTCGCTTACTTTGGGAAGTGACCCTCCTCTGCCTCCAGTCAGTCTTTCTGTTGATTTCTCCAGAGATGGCATTTTTCTGACCTGTTTGTCCAACCATTACTCAGTTTCTCCTAACAGCCTCCTCTCTTTTTGATCCTTTTGGCCCCATGCTGAGTACCAGCAGCCCATACCATGAATATGATGCTGTTTGGATTTAGCAGAATTTTACTGAAGATTTGGACTAACGTAAGGAAATTGCAGAACACCACAGGATAGGTGATATCAATAGATTAAATCAGAAATCTAGGCAAAGTCATAACAATTTGTCAGCTATTGCCCTCGGGGAAATCTCAAGATGGGGGCACTATTTTGGGGGCCCTGGCTTATCACCATCTTTCTGGACACTCCCCATCCCAAATGCTGACTTCCCACTCTCTACATTTTTGTTACTATCTCATATCAAACAGTTTTGCCTCCATCACCAAACCCAAACTCACCAATGGGCTCAGCTGAATAAAGGTCTATAAACCCAAAAGTATGAGCTTGGAAATGACGTGTCCTTTAACCTGAGCAAGTCCCAGTGAGGGCTCCTTCCCCTGAAGGGGTCATTTCCCACCTACCCCTCTCTTCAGTGCAACAAAGAATTTGGTTTAGAAAGAAAGAAAGAAAGAAAGAAAGAAAGAAAGAAAGAAAGAAAGAAAGAAAGAAAGAAAGAAAGAAAGAAAGAAATAAATAATAATATATATGTATATATTAATATAAATAATATTAAAATATATAGCGTATTCATCTTTTTCCTTTTCTCTTCGAACATTGTTATATTTGCCATTGTTTCTCCTTCAGCGTGGAGGAGAAAGGCTCTTCTGAATTTAGGCTTTGGTAGAGAGAGGAAGCTACCTTGGGAGCCTTCCCTCCTAATCTTGCCCGTCAGCCTCTGCATCTCCCATACCAAACTGCTGTTCTGGAGACCTGTTCAGCCAAGTGTATGTCGTGCTAATTAGCTGAGCTCAGTACCAGGAAAAGTCTCACATGCCTTCTAGGCAGACAGTAATGTAAATAAGAAGTTGCCATTTAAAAAAAAAATCACCGAAAGAACCGAGTGATTGGCTTAAAGAAGAATAATGAAAATAATGATTGAAGACACAGGTTAGGCAAGATCCTGATTCATTTCCTTTCCCCTTTCAGAGGACTAGGGCTTCACTGTGGCACACACAGTGTTCTAAAACCACAGGGCTGGAACAAAACCGGGAGGAAATCACCTGGCTGAGAACGTCACCAGGGATATGATTGACTAGGACAGAGGGCACAAAAGCAGGTTTTTTTGGAATTGAGAATACTTTATAAGACAGGAGCTGGCAATAATTAGATGTTTATATTTGAGTCTTTAAATAAAAATCTACCCACTGTGCAACAAGATGGTTTTCTGAAACTTTCAGAAACAGAATTCGGTGTTCGCCATAGAATTTTTTTAATTTGAAATGTTTCCCTGGAAATTATTTTGTTTATTACACTGAGGCATTTGTCTTTTAATGACATATGCTTTTCTATGCCAAAGGAACAATGCTGGCTTTAGTATGATCAATCATCAGTCATGTATCTAAACCAGTTATACCAGTCTCTTGGATCCAGATTCAAAAGCCCACCCAGTTCTCATGAACAATGGTATCTTCTAGCTATGAACGTGAATAGTTATGCAGAAGAAGTTAAGACTTTTTAATATTTTTTTAACTTTTTAAAATTTCTTTATTGATTATGGTATCACATAATTGTTCTCATCCCCCCATTCCCATCCCAAACCTCTCCCCACATATGCACTAGCCTCAGTTCTGGCCTCGCTGGTGCTCTCCCTGTGTTCTCGGTACTGCGGTACTGAGCTGCCTGGTGCTTGTTTGTGAGGAGCGAATGGTCCCATTAGCACATTATCTGGGTGACTGGTTACTGTCTCTGCCAGCTCAGGCTGTTAGAGCAGAATACCATGGTCTGGGTGCCTTAGAAAAATATTTCTAACAGTTTCAGAGGCTGGGAAGTCTGAGACCCAAGTGTCAGCAGATGAGAAATCTGGTGAGAACTGGCCCCCTGGCATATAAACAGTGCCTTCTGTCTGTGTCTGCACCTGGCCCGAAGAGCAGAGAGAAGCAAGCTCTCTCCCGTCTCTTCTTATGAAGGCACTAATCTCATCATGAGGGCTCCAACCTCGTGATCTAATCACATTCCTAAGGCCCAATCTCCAAATACTATCACACTGGGGATTAGGCTTCAAGTTATGATTGGGGTGAGGGGGGAATGCAAACCTTCAGCCTATGGAAGTCACCTCCCACATTTTTCTCTGTGGTTCTGAAAATGGAGTGTCAACTATCATAAGGGTGTCACGGGCTGACCATACTTCAATTATGATCTTTACGGAGCACCCATCTTCTGCCTGCCTAGATGATAACCTTGTGCTAAATTTTATAATGAATTCTGTAGGTATGTGCTGTCCAATATGGTAGCCACTATCCACATGTGGCTATGGAGCATTGGAACTGTAGCTAGTCAAAAAATGAGTTGTACTATAAATGTATCATACGCACTAGATTTTGAAGACAAAAGGAAAAAATAACATAAAATGTATCATTAATATTTTTTAATATATTTTATTGATTTTTTACAGAGAGGAACAGAGAGGGATAGAGAGTTAGAAACATTGATGAGAGAGAAACATCGACCAGCTGCCTCTTGCACACTCCCCACCGGGGATGCGCCTGCAACCAAGGTACATGCCCTTGACCAGAATCGAACCTGGGACCCTTCAGTCCGCAGGCCGACGCTCTATCCACTGAGCCAAACCGGTTTTGGCTATCATTAATATTTTTATTGATTGTGTATTATATACTGGATATATTTGATTAAATAAATACATAATAGAATTCACTTAACCTGTTTTACTTTTTTAATGTAACTACTAGAAAATTGAAAAGTA